CTTCAGCAAAATGATTCACGTGGAGCCCACGACCATGGAAATCACGGCTGAAGGAGTTGTGCGTTTGACACGCGACCGTGTGATTAGATATCACGGGGTACCTCGAAAGATCATCTCGGATCGGGATCCGAGATATGTAGGAGGCTTTATGCGGGAGCTCAATAAGATCCTGGGGATCGAAATGAACCCGAGTACGGCACACCATCCGATAACCGACGGGCAGACGGAACGGATGAACCAGGAGATCGAGAAATATCTCCGAATATTTATAAATTATCATCAGACGGACTGGGCTGAGTGGCTCTCCCTGGCGGAGTTCTGTTACAACGACAAGGCCAGTTCGGCGACGAAGGCCTCGCCGTTTTATTTAAATACCGGCTATCACCCTTGGAAAGGGATCGAGAATGCCGTGGAGACGAGGAATGAGGCCGCCGAGGAGTTTGGCACGAAGATGAAGAAAATTCGTGATGAAGCCACGGCGGCATTAGAAAAAACACAAAAAACAATGGAAAAATCATATAATCTACGACGGCGACCAGCGCCAGTATTTAAAAAGGGAGACAAGGTCTGGATCGAGGCGACGAACATTCAGACAGATAGACCCTCGAAGAAGCTGGGAGATAGGAGGCTCGGACCGTACGAAGTTCTGGAGAAAGTCGGAGCGTCTTCCTATAGGTTGAAATTGCCGAGCACGGACAAGTCACATCCGGTGTTCAACGAGGCGATTCTCACACCGTATACGGAACCGCCCGAGAATCGAAGGGAGAAACGGCCGCCGCCGAAAATCATATCCGGCGAGGAGGAATACGAGGTGGAGGAGATACTGAAACACCGCAAGATGGGACGCGGTTTTCAATATTTAATAAAGTGGAAGAACTATCCGATGGGAGAAAGGACGTGGGAACCATCACGTAACTTGACGCATGCAAAGAAGCTGTTGGACAAATATAACAGGGAACACAGCATTGACGTCAGGGCGCTACCCACGCTCCCGGCTGGATATTGGGACGGCGAATGCAAGAGATTTGTCCCAAAGGAGGAATTCCAACATTATTTAAAGAAGAAATTATTTATTCCCGATGAAAATCGGTTTGTCAACATCGACGAGGACGTCGATCCTAGAGAGGGGGTAATGTCACGCGCTGACCTATTTGCGCACGTGACAACGCCAAATAAACCAGATATACATTGGCGCCGTACAGCGTTAAAGTCATGGGAACCCCGTCTCGATCGGATTGAGGAAGAAGCCGAGGAAGACATTATTTAAAGACGTGGGACAGTTTCATATTTATGAACGACAGCGTGGATGAGGGAAGGAGTTTTCGATCAGTGAACTGTCAGATCATGACAGGCTTCTATGATGAACACGGTGTAGACATGACAATAGGAGACGACAACGGTGCAGGACAATAGTGCATGTCGGAAGCCAGGACAATTAGTGTAGCATCGTAGATCTATTCCTCATAGTATAAAAGCAGTAGCTAGTCGTCGTATTCTGTACCCTCTCCTAGACTTTTATTCAGTTCATTTTACGAGCTTTAGTAGCGCACTACCCAATCCACAGCATCTTACCGCTGTTGGACGCGTGAAACAAGTCTTGTCGTGACAGCACTCGTTAATTGTTAGCTGCAATTTGATGAACAACCTGCGCAAGCACTTTGGCGCTGGTTGCAAGTCCAAGACTCACTGGCTGAAGCTCAAATATCAAGACCGATTGATCTCTCACACGGGCAGACCAGTCGTCAAACCTCAGCCCCAGACGCAGATTGTTGCTGACATCAACTTGATCCTCTCTCTCTTGAGGAGCAGGCCGTAGCGCTGGCGAAAACAGTAAGTATCCGCTGAGCATCCGAACACTGACTGAATCCTCGCTCAGAAGGAGGACAAGGAGACAGTTCGCATGGTGTTTACGGCGATGAGGAACACAAAGTGCGATCCACCCAGCAAGGAGCTCATCAACGCCGCGGTCCTCGAATTGCACGAGAATTTCGGAGAGAGTTGAGAAAAGGAGCGGGTGCAGCGGAGAACAGTGAACTGCATATTTTACACTATGGTACACCATCAATTGCAGTCCCAAGTCCGTTGTTGTAAGGTATCAGTCAATCAGTCCAAATGCATTCCAAGTCCCTCATTGCCCACTGTCAGTCCGTCCAAATCCATGTCGTCTGCAGATTCAAAGTGCTCCTTCCCGTAGTCCTCGGAGTCCTCGGCGGTGAAATACGCAGTCGTGAATGGTGTGAAGTGCTGGGCACCATAGGGTTGTGCTTGGAACGGCGGAGGGTCCATGGCTGGACTGGCGAGATGCGGGATCGGGTTGGTCTCGAGATGGTGTTTTTCTGACAGTAGGTTCTTGAGTTTAGCGACCTCATCCTCCAATGTGAAGATCCGTTGTTGGTGAGCGAGAATCTGTTCCTGCTGCACGACAAGAGTTTCGTTGGTGTCAGCCTGTTCGCTCTGGTCCTGGGCGGTGTGTATCATGCGCCCTGTTGCCAAGGCGCGATCAACGACGAAACGGAGCTGGTCCCTGAACACGGTTGATAAACCTCAAGTATGCGTGGTTGAAATCTTACTTGGAAGTTTCTGCAAGTTTCTTGATCTTGGGACTACACAGGGAGTGAGCATGAGTAGAGATGGATATATGCGGGTGTTTTCTACGCTTTGGGTGGCCTATCCAGAGTTCAATATGGTCTATCTTCGGCCCTGGGTGCCACCGGTGGCCGAACATCAGAAGGCTGTGGACCCTCCACCCCCTGACGTGGTCGATGGCCATTACGAGTACGAGGTGGAGGAAAGTTTGAAAGTCAAGAGAGGCAGGTAAACCAGCAGAATACTTGGCGCTACTTCGTCAAGTGGAAAGACTACCCGCCGGCGGAGTGGACTTGGGAAAAGCATGCCTTGCTGGATGGGGCGGAGGAATGCATAGAGGAGTTCTATCAGAAGAACCCGACTGCACCCTGCGAAGAGCGGGTTAACAGACGATCGTGTCCTGAGCGCTTCAGGACACAGGGCTTGAACGGGGGGGGGGGGGGGGGGGGGGGGGGGATATGACCCCAGGCAATAACCTGACAGGTTACAACCCGATCAACTGTTACATCCCGTTCCAACTTCATCCCATCTCCGGACCCCGGTTCCTTTGACCGGAGTTCCGGTTCCTTTGACCAAACTCCGGATCCATTCCATCATGTCGGGCTGGCTCCTGCTTCTCGGACTACTCCGGGTATTTGGGTTTTTCACATGAAAAAGGAACCTTGACAGGATATTCATCCAACATGTTCTGGATTGACATCCACTTGATCACTCCGTGCGGACTTAATCACCTTATATCCACTTAGCCGGTTATGTCCGTTCTCAAGTCTATTTTAGTGTCTTGACAAATATCTCTCACACTTAGTATATAAGACTTTCCTTTTGTAGTTGGTACTTCAGTTTGATTATCGACGTTCTTTGTCAACGACAGCGTCTAGACCGGCTTGCCGGGTGATCGGATCAGACGCGGAACGGCGTGGGTGACGCGGCCGGGTACGACGAGAAGGTCGACGAGCTCGAGAACGTCGAGAGGAGACGAGTCGAGCACAACGAGACGAGTTGAGTCTCGGCGGATAGGCGAGTCGGGTTGTGTCCGTGAGGGAAGAGAACGTAATCCGTAAGCCAAAGTAGCGCTGGAGATTAGACTAGGTAGAATCTACTGTACAGGAGATTCTACCCAACATTATATAGTACCCTCGTCAGGAGTTCGCTCCTGTGTGATCGGACCCTGTCCCTTAATATCCTCCTGACTCAATAGAGTCCTGGTGGAGCCACCCCTGTGGCCCTGTGTGTAACCACGATCGTCCTCTCCTAATATGCATCATGATCCCTTGCTGAGGGATCACTGGTTGACATGTGTTTCCCCCCTCGTCGGGTTCCAACACTGCGCGATGGGTTCTATATCAAGAACCCATGTTACGCCGGGCATGTACTTCTGTCCCTCCACTGGTTGACATGTGTTTGGGACCCTTCGTCGGGTTCCGACACTGCGCGTCGGGTTCTGTCCTAGCAACCCTTCCCACGCCGGGCATGTACTGCTGCCCTCGTATCCGAGTGGTAGTTCCCCTGGGACTATCCGCTCCTTGTTCAGGCGGGCGACATCCATCTCTCGAGGAAGGACTTGTCGTGCGTGGACCGAACGTACGTTTGTTGATGATAACGAATCTCGTGATCCGTAACTGATGGCGGTGATAGCATCACCGGATCAGTCGGCAAGCGCTGGTTTCATGACATTCTTGGTGCATTCCACCTTGGTCTATCCGAGCCCCTCCTCTCTCCGATCGGATTCCTCATCCGGAACTCCGGTCCAGTCCGGTCCTCATCTCACATTGCTGGGCAGACGGTCACCCTCGACCTTAGTGGTGTCACCGTTCCTCCGACAATCGCCCCGGAACTCCGGTCCAACTTTCCTCCGGTTCTTTTGACATCGAACCGGAACTCCAGTCCAAATCTTCTCCGGGCAATTTTATCCCTGCTACGTTCTTCTCTCGGATCCGACACCTAACATCAACCATCAACCATCAGTACCCTAACAAGTGATCATCACTTGTCAGCCGGGTCTTGTCTCAAACCCTGCTTGGTACTCCACTCTCCCCTGCATTTAAACCCCTACTTGTCTCGATCACCCCTGCTCCTACCCTCTACCCCTGGTACCTAATTCAATTATGTATTATATATACCCGTCTACAGTCTCAGTACTGTAGACAAATCTAGTCTATTCTCCCTACGGCTTGCTCTACCTCTTGAGTCTCATCTTCTGCTCTTCACTCGGTTGCCTCATTCGTTGCCGGCTAGAACCCAACTTAGCCCTAGGTGCTGACAGGTACAAAGACCCTTCCGGGACCAAAAATATTGTCTTGGTGAGAACCACTTGCCCAAAAATTCTGGAAAAAATGCCTGAGCTCTGGGGATGTTTCTAGGTGAAAACCCGACGTAAAATAGGACCCCTGGACCCGTAAAAAGGCCCAAAAAGACTGCCTCGGGGGGACTCGAACCCACGATCTCGTGATGACTAAACAGGAATGACCATGCTTACATAACAGTCACACGCCTTAACCAACTGGGCCACGAGGCAGTTGTTGAACGCCCATACGAAATAATCATCTCCAGCTTTGTCATGCATCTTCACATGTTTTCCTGTGCATATATGGATTCAGCGACCTCGCAAACCCCCAGAAACCTCCCTGATTTTTGCAAGGAAGATGCATTGCATCACAGAGTGCAGGCGAAATTGATCAGAGTGAAGCTGACCCCGAAACCAAGCATAGTGTGGTTTATATGCCAAATAACATAGTCCCCCAGGCCCTCCGAGTCCGGGATCACAGAAAAATGTTGTTTCGGTAGCCCATGTGTTTTGCTACGAGTTTTCACCCTATAGCTATGTTGGACCTTCTAATTTACTGGAGCTCCGAGAAGAAGGAGGAGGATCGCAGTGGTCTCCCGAGCTTTGAACCCAGAAGGGGGGTGTGAACGGCAGCACGATATGACCAAGTCCAACTAGCATGAACGATAAGTAGCCAAGTAGCGACTCCGAGTCGGAGAAGGGGGATTTCAATCCGCGTTCAAAGTACCGAGGCTTTAACGAATCAAGAAAGTGAGAGTGAGGGAATCCAGTCAAATGCAGGCAGAAATCGAGGTAAGTCCGCTGACTGAGTCGAGGAATTATCGTCTTGACGTCGAGATGGAAGGCACCTGGCAGGCTCTATTTGGCTGCTGATGTCACCTCGTGATCGTGCTTCTTCTCAGTGCCCCTTGCATCTGACTCTCACTTTGAGCCTCTGCGTTCCATAATCCCGCCTCTCGCACATGGACCACAGTGTCGGCTGACCGTCAACTCAGGCTCGCATAGGCTTTCTATTTACTCCTTGAAACTTCGCGTCTAATTCGCGTCAACGACGGAATGCAGCGGAATGTCAACAACATTCCGGAATGTATTCTCTTGGCCACCGTAACCGAGCGATCCCCGCGACTTTCAGACACCTGAAAGTATTTAAGGGATTGACCCGAGACCTTTCTTATCCATTCGACCATGCGGTCTTCTCTTTCTCTCTTTTTACTGTCGGCCTCCTGCTTTTCTGCTGCTGCTGCCCTCGGCGGGCTGCCCAGCAAGATTTATGGCGTCAATCTAGGATCTTGGTTCGTCTATTGGAAGCATTTGGGTCTTTGTTGATTTGGTCTTCAAGGCTTGTTCTGGAGTCATGGATGTTGCCTCAAGGTGAGACCGCCCTTGAAGCTAGTATCCGTCACTGATGTACTATAGAATGGCTCGACATGGGTGGCCAACAGTGCGCCGACTGTTCGACTTGCATTGCGACCGAATTGTAGTTTTTCACCTCTCCCAACATTCCATGTCTCAAACATTCTCAGCGCTTTTGCTCAGGCATATCCCGGCACGGTGGACAAGATTTTTGACGGTCACTGGTGAGTTTTTACCGCTTGTAACGACCGTCGTAACTCATCTATATTCAGGAACTCGTGGTTCAACCAACCCGACGTCGACGCTTTAGTCGATGCAGGTATCAACACCGTTAGGATCCCCCTCGGCTATTGGATTGTGGAGGCCCTTGTGAATCGCACCACTGAATTTTATCCCCGCGGCGGACTGGCACAGTTGGTGCGTGACTTTTGTTGCGTTGATTTCGCCCGTCACCAATACTCTTCCAGCGCCGTGGATTGCAACAACTCCACAAGGCTGGCATTGTTGCGATTCTGGATCATCATGCTCTCCCAGGTTGGTGTAGCCCTGATGATTTATTTTCTGCCACTAACCTTTTCAGGCGTGCAAACGGCTGGGCAGATGTTCACGGGAAGGCAAGTGTCGAGCCCTGAGTATTGTTCACTTATCAACAAGTATTCAGGTGCACAAGCGACGTCGAGTTCTACGTAAGTAGAATTCTACACTACTCCGATTCGTTGCCAACTCGCACTAGACTGAGTTCAACTATCATCGGGCTCTGATCTGGACGGCCGTCATGACCACCCTCACGCATGTCGACCCCGACTTTGCTGCCGCAGTGTCGATCGAGGCGGTGAACGAGCCGATCATGAATGCCGATCAGACTCCTGGCTACGGTGATTTCCAGATGAACTTTGTCAAGGTTGTACGGGCCACAGAATTCCTCTTGGGTGTCCCCACTCCTGGGTTCGGTGCCATGCCGGCGCCTGGAGATGGGAACTTTACGGCGATGCTTCCTCACGTTAGCGACGACAACATCTTCAACGCCGAAGTCCGCTCTGTGTTGATCGAGACGGTGCCCATCCTGTTGCGACTCGGAATCAAGGGTCTTTCGTTGAGGAAGGAGCCTCTCGTCACCACGTATAATCAAATTTTCACAACTTTTACCTTATTTTTGACTTTGCTTTCAGCTTCAGCGACGTTAACTGGCAATTCAACAATCCCCCGAATCCCGCCGCCGCCGCAATTGGGTCTCAGCTCTACGATAACCATTTGTTCGTCCTTGCCTATTTTACACCCGCCCCTCACTGACTTTTTGCAGGTACTACAGGTGAGTCTTCGTGTCTTGTCATGTCTTCCTGCTCAATCACTTGTCGCAGTTTCGGAGTAAGTAATATCCTTCTCCGCATGTTCTACTGCTGACAACCCACACAGGGAGTCGCCGACGCCAACCCCGACGCGTACATGACGAGCATCTGCAGTAAGCCTAACCGGTCCCTGACTCGATTCAATATACCCATTTCTCAGACCTCAACCGGGTCCAAAACGACGCTGCCGTGGGCAACAGCCCCCTTGTATTCGGAGGTGTGGGGAGTACCATCTTGCTTGGACCCGGCTCATCATTTCGCAGAATGGGGTCTTCCCACGCAGTTCAATGCCACCGACGAGTTCTTGAATATGTGGGCCGATGCACAAAAGCTCGCTTACAGCCAGGGCGCTGGTTGGATGGTGCGTGTCTTACTTCATTGCACCACACTTCCTTAACACGTAACAGTTCTGGAACTTCAAGGTCGAAAAGAGTGAACTGGCCGGCAATCTCTCCCGGCAGTGGTGAGCATTCTGAATATCTTCCAATCCTAGGCTGACTCGTCTTAGGTCGTACCTCGAGGGCATCGAACTCGGTTATTTCCTCAAAGATCCTACGCAAGTTCACGATCCCCACGTCTGTGACCCCTACGTCATCAATTCTACCACCACGGCTTAAGGTGGTCAAACTATACACTCTCTACACTACCGCTCTTTACTACTTATCGCTCTTTATTGAATCTTTCTGGTACGTACGGAAGAATAAACGGGTTTCCTTCAGTCCCACTTGACGATACTTGCGTACCACGCAATCGACTCCTGCCACGCTTTCCATTCAGCCTCAACCCCATCAAGCGCGTGGATCTCGCCCCTAAACATCTTACAAGCCACGCGAGCACGTCCATTGCGCTTGAGTCCATGATACCAAGCCAACCCTTGTGAGGGTCGCACCCTTCGATCATCGGCGGAGAGTAATACAAGCGTCGGAGCCGTTACATCGTCCACGCGGTGAATTGGCGACGCGCCCGCTAGCAATTCGTACTCTGCACCGCTGGCCAGTCGGATCGGCAACGCTGCATGTGCCTCGCGCCCTTCAAACAGTCGGACTACAGAAAGTTAATTTGGGTATAGATCGCGGGTTCAGCGAACAAACCTTCGTTAGGGCCCCACTCAGGAATGTCCGAACCATGCAGAAACATCGCAACGAGATCGACGGCCGGATTCCGCAGAATCGCTCCATGATACAAGTCCGGAAAACGGGATGTCATATGTGCACTGAAGGAAATCGTCAAAAAAAAACACCTTCCAAGTGCGAATCACAACATGCGTCAGAAACCCTCCATGGCTGAGTCCTTCGATAAACTGTTTGCCGGGATCGGCGCTCGCAAGGTTGGTGCGGAGTAGATATTCGTAAGACGCATGCAGCGACTTGACATCCACGTCCCCGACGTGCCCGAAAAGTGCCTCGACTGCCTCAAGGCCAAATCCTGACAAGTTGAGGGACGATTTCAAATCTGAAAAGCAAGCCAACCTGTCGATCCCGTGTAACTGACCAAATATTAGCAAAGCAATATGATAAGATCTCAAATCTTACTTTATCAGCACGACTGTAAATCCAGCGATGGCACTAAGGAATAAATGAGGGTCATCGAGGCAAGGCCGACGACGTACAGGCTAGTCCAATGCGCCCACAATTTCGTGCTCGAGTGCATATGAGGTCCTCCATGCGGGATATGGACGACAGGAGGAATCGCTGCGTTGCCGTCGTCGTCATTCTCACTGGTCGGCCCAGCGTAAACGCAATTGCCTGCAACTGCGAGCTCTGCAAGTATGCGTTTGATCTTCGGAGATGCGGATACGACAATGATCTCGGTGGCGTGGACTTGCGGAATGGCGATTGTCGCCACAGCGAGCGGCGCCATAAACTCTTGAGGCGGAGGGGCTTCATGCGAATTAAGACATGGGCTCAATCGGGTACAAAGACCTACCTTTCAAAGTCACCCAGCCCTTGGTATTCTTGACGTCGTACATCACAAGTTCGGAAGGGCGACTCAGCGAGCTGCGAGTGGCAAGAATGCAGGAGACGCTGTTTGTACGAAATGCTGTGTAAGACATGAGTGCTTCGGGCTGGACGAGACCAGCTGTGGGGCACGGGGCGAGATTTGTTACAGTCTTGGTTTCGAGCGATACCAAGAGAGGGACTGTACGAGAGCGCCACTCGGAGGACAGCGCAAGGTGCGGGACATTGTCTTTGATCAAGAAAGGCTCCGCAGGAAGTTGATCGAGATAAACGCCCTGTAGGCAATTTGAGGATGAGAACATTGGATTCATGCAGGGTACTTACAGGAAATTCTGAATCAGAGGCATGCACGACGGTCGGAACGAGCACATCCTCAAAAGACACGGACAAATCGAGGGGAAGGCGTCGAACGTGTAGTTGAGCACACGAGCCATGAGGCCCTGCTTGTTTATTGGAAATGAATGCCAAAAAGCCATGGCCAACGCGAGGGCTTCGCACAGAACGGTCCTCAGGAGTCAAGGGAATTTTGGCACCTGGATTGGAGAGATCAAAATGATAGAGACGAGCAAGTCTA